TTGTGAATGTATGTATGTACGAATATGCAGGTATGTGGGTAATTGAATTTGTATGCATTTCAAGCAGAATTGATTGTTTATTGAAGATTTCTCGATACTCATTAGAGGCAGGAATTTGTCAATACACTCATATATATGTATATATGTATGTACATACGTGAGGTGAAAGATGTTTTGAAAGCGTTTAAGATTGAAAGCGGTGGTGTTGTGTTATTGTACTTACTCACATATTTAGTTATGTAGGTGTGTATGTTTGTACCTATGAATTTGATGAATAAATTGTGTCATGCTATGTATAATGACGATGCGAAAAACTTGACTGAAAGTCGAAGCAGCAACTGCCAAAAATTATGAAAGGTACAGAATGAGCAGTGCTAGGAAATGTTTGGAAGCCGGAAAGTGAGCTGAGTTTTTGGATGATTTGTGTGAATCGACTCTTACTTGTGTATGTAGAATGGAAATTTAAAGTAGGAACAGATATGAAAATAAATGAGGATTGATATAAAAGTAAAGAAAAAAATATGATCGATTTTATATGCCTATATTATTAAGTTAAATTTGATAAATTTGTTGATCAGCGTTCTAGTGTTATAGCCAGTAGTATTTGTGCAGAAGCAGCATATGATTTTATGAAAAACTCCATTAAATGCTCATGCATCGCAAAGAAAATCTTCGAACCTCGGAAAATGCACTTTGCCACATAGAATTTCGCTGTATAAATTTTACTAATCATGGAACGCATATTGAGGACGAAAAAGTTAAAAAAAAGTAAAATTTTAGCTTTCACCTAGTTTTAAATTTGATCAATAGCTCTACAAAGAATTGTTTCTTTAATTTTACTGCGTTTAAGTATTTCTATCAGTGAATGTATTTAGAAAATAGATATGCAATAAAAATATGGTGATAGAAAAGATGAAGAGAATGCATAACCCTGCAAGCCATACGTTCAGATTAATCTGAAAAAATGAACTCAAATCCCGTTTTAAATAAAATGCACTGCGCACACGTCAACTTTTTTACGAAATTTCGAAAAAAAAATCGGTCAAGTACTGATAATATTGCTGCACTGTAAAGAAAAATTTTTGAATTTTCATCAAGAAATCACATAGAACTTTCGCACATAGAAAATTAGGCCAAAAAGAAAATATTCCGGAATTCGGAGCATTTTCCTTATACGGTTTAAGATTCTGGGTATTTTGGTTTGTAGGGAAGTTACATTGTGAAAAAGTATTTAGCATTTGAGAATTTATATGAAATCAGACAAACCAACTTTAATGTTGAATGTTGATGAAAATCAGTGAGAGCAAAACAGAAGTTAAAGTTATGCGCAAAATAATAGTTGCAAAATTCCTAATGGTATTGTTCGCAACTAATGTTTATTTTTTTATTTTTTAATAATTCTCATTGAAAATAAAGTTTTTTCCATAACAGAAACCACATACAAAAATAGTTCAAATAAGTTGATCAAAAAATTCAAAAAATTTTAATCGAAATTTTGTACTTTTTATTCAGAATTTTATGAAAATTTTCGAGTACACAGTTTTGTAGTACATTTTGTTTTAGTGCACGTATCAAGTCGCTTAAAATTATCGTTGATTTTTTACAGTTTTTTTTTGCCGAGGATGTTGCTTATTTTCTGCCATCCATATAACTCATTACCGAAATTTCTTTTTTTCTTTTTTTTTTTAACAAGGCTTTGGAACTTGTTATTGTGGTTTCTGTTATGGATTAATTTCTATTTTACTTTGATGTTATTAAAAATAAATAAATACACATAAGCTGCAAAGAAAACCATTTGGAATTTTGGGTCTATCATTTTGTCCATAAGTGTATTTCGCGTAAAAAAAAAAATATTTATGACTCACAAGAGGCGAAGTCGGCATAAAAAAGCTAATTTTTTGCATTGGACTAGTTATGAAATGACACAGAACATAAACTTATAGGCTTGAGCATGTGTTGAGCATGTGTTGGGGCTAAGTTAATTCTCAAACGTGCAAAGAAGATTCTCTTTCACTTTTTCTGCAATGTCATCTACTTGAAAGTTGTAAATTTTTACGAGGTTTGCAAATCATTTCGAAAGATTGGAGATAATTTTTTTGTTTTAACTTTTGTTTTGCACTTAAAAAAGTTTAAAATCGCACAACACAAAACCATTGTAGGCGCTGTGAAAACGCATGGAAATTTAAGTATTTTGGCAAAACCACATAGTGAAGTAAAAGGGAAAATGCGAGTATTTTTGGTTTAAGGTATGAGCTAGGCATGCTACACATATACATATGTATGTATATGTATGATAATGACCGCAATAAAATAACAAAAAAAAAATCATAATAAATATGAAGCAAAATTAACATGCCCTCAACTAAGGCAGAGTGTTAATTGTTGACAAATATTGCACTCATGCGCTGCTGAATAATGTGAAAAGTTCAAAAATCATTTTGAGAAAGTTTTGCAAATAAGCGAATGACCATAGAGAGCAAAGTGGCTACATTAAATGCAAGGTTTCATGAACAAATGCTTGCAGTCAGCAGCTACATAAGTATGTATGTATATAAATATACATACATATGCCCATATGTGTAAGTAGATATGCAAGAGTGCAACATGCAACAGCAAGTTGAACGAACTCATCAAGTGCTAATGAAAAACCAATTAAAAAAAAAAGTTTCAGCACATCACCAATATGCATGCATTCGAAAATTAAAGAAAGTAAAGAATATGCCACTCACGTGGAACTAAAATGTAAATGGAATGTACGAAATGAATGAATATGTAGGTAGTGTGGGCAAAATTGCAATGCAGTGACAGTTGCAGTGAGGTTAAGCTGTGAAATTAAATGAAGTTTTAAATATAAATGATATATGTAAACAAAAATGAAGTGCAGTGAAAATTATCTCCATTTTTATGATGACAACCTTAATAAAGTGCTTTCGCTTTCGTACTTATGCGTGTTCATTTTCAGAAAAAGTCATTTACATATTTCAGCATTGTTGACTTAAAAGGAGTGAAATGTTATTATCAGCTCATTTCAAGCCACTGATTAAAAATAAATTTGCCGATTTCGCCCTTTTCGGTGTATGGGAGAATGAAAGTGTAGGGCATAAGAAAAAATCAAATATTACCAAATAGGATTACTGAGAAAAACGATTAAGATAACGTAGCAAAAGTTTAGCCATTAAGCCATTTCCTCTGAATTGTCCTATGTGCTGCGGATGCGTAGGCGTATGAGTGATGTATTGGGGCGAGTAAAAAAAACGTTGAACATTTCGAAGGATCGATGTGAAAAGCATTAAAATAAAGTGAAGTGATAACAAAATTGTGGTAAAAAGTGCAGAAAGTTGGAGCAGATAAAATAAGGAAAATATTTTGTAGAAGAGATTGGCCGACTTCCAATACGTATGTAGTAATTCAACACTGCTATATTAAAAATCTATCAAAGCAACAACTTTGTAAGTGACAAGAGGATTGCACTAGTCGCGCATTTTAAAATCATTTCAGATTAGTGCTGAAGCTCTCTACACTATTATGAACATAATGCCGTTCGTCTTTGCAGAACAGTATGCAATGAAGTTGGTTTATTGAAAGTCAGCCAGTCTGATGTGTAAAATGCTGATTTTTTGAAAATTACTTTTTTTTTATGTTGTGTGTAGTTAGTATTTTAAGTGATTTCTTGCATTAAATTAATATTTTCTACCAGACATGGTCATGTAGTTCCAAATGAAAACTGCAAAGGCTGCGAATTGTAAGAAAATTATAATGATTTGATTTGAAAGTGTAAATAAAAAGAAAGCGAGTTTTTGTTTTTAATAATTTTTACATAAATTATTATTCATTCATTCGTAAATGTAGTTTTTTTTTGTTATAATTTTTCTGTTGGTATGTAGTCTTTTCAAAAGCGGGCAGTAAACAGTTGATAGAATAAAAGAAAATGAGCAATAGTAAGATAGAAACAGTAATATAGTTAAAGTGTATAAATGTAGGCTGTGAAATAAGTTATAGGTTTTACAAATAGTACAACAGAAAAAGTAGTAGGCATAAGATAAGAATAGAAAACTTACTTTACATGTAGAGTATTTATAAAGTAAGTGAATTATATACAAAAAGTAAATAGCAGAATAGGTAGATATCTGCTGAAATACGAAAAATAAGGCATGATAAAAAATAATTTACAAAAGATGAAATAGTAGTAGGATAGAGGCGTAAGAGGAAATAGTACGACATAGTGATAGAAGAGAGAAGTGGAAAAAATAGTATAAATAAGAAAGGAAAATAGTACTAAGAAAAGTAGTAGAAAATAGTAGTAAGGAAAAGTAACACAAATCAGTAGTAGAATATAATTGTAGAAAATAGTACTAGAAAGACGAGCAGAAAGGAGTATTAGAAAATAGCACTAGAGAGATAAACAGAAATAGTAGTGAAAATTAATATTAGAAAGAGTAGTAGAAAATAGTACTAAAAAAGAACGTATAGAACAGTTCAGAAAATTGTAGTAGAAAGTGATAGATGAAAATAGAATTAGAAAGTGATAGTGATCGACCTAATTGCTTGTAGTTTTGCATTGCCTATTTGTAGCACAACCGACTGACTAGTTAGAGTTGCAAAGCGTGTTGATCGTTTGCGTTTGGTGTGCGTGCATGTGTTTGTGCTTATTGATGCAGCGAATGAAAATGAGATATTGCATGTGTGTTGTTGCTCCGCACAATTGGATACATACATACATATGCATATTCAAATATACGTACAATAAATCTATGCCTCCTTGTGGCGACCTTGACAAAACACGTCCATTACATAACATCAACATCAGCAACAACGGCAACAGCAACAATAATTGACAACATACATACAAACATATACATAGGCTAACTTAAATAAGTGCTACGCAACATTATTGAAAATAGTTAGCAATACATATATATGGTAACGATGTGAGAGTGTATGTATGCAACTACATGACAATGTGGCGCTTAAAGCTTAAATTAAATNTATAGGCTAACTTAAATAAGTGCTACGCAACATTATTGAAAATAGTTAGCAATAAAATATATGATAACGATGTGAGAGTGTATGTATGTATGCAACTACATGACAATGTGGCGCTTAAAGCTTAAATTAAATCATTAAAATATATAGATGCATAGATACTAAAGCATTACGGTCATAAGTTCTCGATGAAAGAAGTAGCGAGCTGAGGCCTCACGCAAACTTTTGCCAATTTACATATACTTAGATGTCACTATGTATGTATGTATATGTGATTGAACTGCTCATTTCGCCTGCCGATCAACTCCTTACTGCCTCAGGCACTTGAAGATTCGTTGTTTGGTTTTTTTTGTTATGTAAATGTGGTTCCAATCGTCTTTTTCGTCCATTTTCTTCGTGGCTTATTTTTCATTACATACATTACAAAATAAATATTTTTGATAATAAATAAATTAAAATAAATTAATAATATATTTGTTTTTTTTTTTTTTGTATTGAATCGTTGCTACTCGTTTACCACCACAAGCGGTTACGTGCTGCTACATTCTTCATTTGTTTTTGATTTTTTTTCGACGCTATTTCCTTTCGTTGACAGCAGTCGCACACATTTGTGAATGCATGCTTTTTATCGTTGTCATTTTGTAGTGAACATTCTGTTTAGTTTATTTGTTTACATTACCCTAATTGTTGTTTTGGCTTTTTAGCGCAGAATGACACCCGACGCCACTCCACGCTTCAACTTCCGCTCCCAATGCTTATCGTCGGGCTTGCTTGTAGCCAGAGTAGGCAACTGTTTGCGCAACTGGTGAACTGTAGGCACCGTGCGAGTCCCAGCCAGAGTTGCCTGAAGACCAACCGCCGCCGCCGCCACCACCCGATGACCAACCACCAGAGCTGGCTGCGGATCCAGAGTTCTTGCCACCGAACAGACCGCCGAGACCGCCGAGCAGACCACCGCCGCCGCCGCCGCCGCCCAAACGGCTCAGACCACTTGAAGCACCAGCAGCCAAGGCTAAGAAGAAAGCAATAACCGAAACGACGAGCGCCTTCTTGGCCAAGAAGAGCAAACCAAAGAGGGCACCAACAGCCAAAATGGCGATCTTAGCGCCAACACCCAACAAGATGGGGAGGAATTTTTTCAACAGCTTCTTCTTCTTGGTACGCGACTCAACAACCAACTCACGCAAATCGGCCTTGATGTCATCGGGAATGGCACGCGCCACTGAGCGTGCAGCATTGGCGAAGTTAAAGTTCAATGAGCGTTCAGCGAAGAAGTTCTTGGCGTGATTCATGAAGTAGGTGCCCATTTCGCTGGTGCGTGCCTCAACGGTGGGTGCGGCCTCTACGGCGACGGCATTGTCATCGAATGATTTGCCTTGACGTCCTTCATTGGATTTGATGAGGGAAACACCGCCGACGATTTCGATTTGTGGATTTTCGAAGAAGGATTTCGCTTTGCGGAAGAGCTGTGTGTGGAGAAAGGAGAGGATGAGAGGAAGAGAGAAAGAGAAATATAAGTAGTTTGCTTAGGGTATGGAAAAAATATGGATATAATATAAGAAATTTATGAAAAAATGTGTGAAACATTTAATGAAAGCAACAACTTAAAAATTACGGCGATATTAAACTTATGTAGAAATAAATAAAAAATTTAAAGTAATGATAGAAATTTTCGAATTTTTTTCACGTAATCACGCAAAGTTCCAATATTTTTTTTAATTTTCAAATATTTTTTTTTTGTTGGAAAATTTTTAAAATTTGTTTTCTTTTGTTCACTTAAATTTTTTAGTTAAAGCCAGAGTCTCGGTGCTACTTTTTTTTTTGGAGGTTAACTCTAAAGAAGTCTAATGAAGAGATGTGGTGTTCTCCGAAATTGCAGCTATAACATCTACCGCTTAGAATTTGATGTGTTTTTCTTTTTTATCTAATAAACAACTGACAAATAATTTTTATATTTTTATATTAAAAATATTAAAATTCTAGATAAGTTTAGTTGAGTTCCAAGTAAAAAATTATTGGTAAGGATTTGAAAAAGAAGCGAAGCCAAAATTTGCTTGAGTAATTCAACCAATTTTTTTTAGATTTAAAAAAAATTTAGCTCAAAATGTTCAAACCTTTTAGATTTCAAAATATGAACTTATGTATAAAAAATTAAAAACCCATTTTACAGCTGAGAAAAAAAATATTTTCCTAATAATTTAAAAAACAAAAAAATAAACTGTATTGTACCAAAATTTCAGATAAAAATTGTAAAATAAAACAATTAAAAAATTCATTAAAAAAGAAATTTTAAAATTCGGTAGCAAACTCCTTGAGTAATTCATCATTGTTTATTTAGTGATAATTTTTTAACAAATAATGTCATTATTAAGGGTCATTTTCTCAAGTAGGTATTATAATTTATCTACCCTCTTAACAAAAATTTTGTTCTGAAAAATGTGTTTGAAGGGCAGATAAATTCTAAAACCTACTTGAGAGAACGGCACTAGAAGTACCTATTTTAAAAGTTCAAAGTAAATAAATTTAATAGAAAAACTTGTGAGGATTAAATTTGCAAAAAAAAAATTATTTTGAAATATTCAAAACTTTTAAATTTCCAAATACATAAAAAAAAAATAAATAATCTTAAAATTTTCAAAACTACACTCTAAAAAGTGCATGTAAAACTACTACTGAAAAGTGTATTTTTCAAGCAGAATCTGTTATATTTATAATATATTCAAGGTTGAATATTTGAACATGAGATGTTTAAATTTGCAAACATTTTGAGCGACTAAATAAATTTCCTACTAATAATTAACATTAAGTGCTCATATTTATAGCACAAACATATATCGGTGACAAATTTGGTAAGCAAAAGTAAACAGGCAGTGTTTCATTTTTTTAATTGAGTGTGTAAATTTACATATATTAAGAGAGGAAATTGCTTACCTCTCTCAATATACGTAAATTTAAACAAAAAATTTTGATAACAATTGGAAAAAGTGTAAAAAAATGTAAAATAAAAATATTGATATTGAAAAATTTTAAAGTATTAAAAAATTGATTTCCAAAAAAAATAAAAAATTTGAGCAGACTATCTGAATAATTCCCTACTGTTAATTATTAGATCTGTACGAATAATTTGTATTAAAAATATTTCTCTCTTATAATTTTTTGATATTCTTCAGGTAAAAGATTTGCAGTTTTAACAATTAACTCTAGAGCACAACATCTAAAACTTATCAAAAGTTCGATTGATAAAATTTAGTTTCAAAGGCGATAAAAGCGAAAATAAATAAATATCTGAGAAAAACAAAAAAAAAAAAATATATTTCTTTAAATTAGCCGCCTTCGAATCGCCACTTCTCTGCTCGCTAGAGCTCATCCCTGCTAACTTAACGAAAATTTTGTATGAGAAAGCAGCAACAAAGTTAGCTAGCAGCGATAAACGTTTGACGAGTTTAATTGCACCTCACTAATTTCGTTCGTTGCGCCACTCGCTATGTGTTGGCGAAACGTAGGCGGCTATTATTAAGTAATTTTGTTTCGATGAAGACAAATAATTAAGATTTACATATTTATTAAAAACTACTTCTGTATATAAAATTGTAAATTTATATTTTGTTCTTTACCAACACCATGTATAAACTAAGCTGTTATTAATTACAGGGAACTTCTTTTTGAAAATGTTTTCAACCGAATGTTAGACAAATCTTAGACATCAAATAGAATATAAAAATATTGTATTATATAAGATTTACGTTTCACATTTATGGATAAGAGAGCATTTTTTTTTAAATTTGATAAAATTGTTCAGCCTACTTTATCCATTTTTCGCTCAAATTTATATTGGAGATTGCTAATGTAATAAAAAATATTGGCTGAAAGCCGTTAATGCAAATATTTTTTTTTTACAGTTTTGCGGCCTAGTCACTTATTTATCACCACTTATTTTCAGGCACCAAAACTGCTGTACACAAAATTTGAACTTCGAGTGTTTTTTAAATTAGTAAGCACTAATTATTTTTTTCGATTTTCACTTTCATACATATTTGGTGATCTTTTGTATTTTTTCGATTTTCTAGCTGCACTAGTTATTATGCAACTAATGTTTTTAATTCTCAGTCTTTTTTATTTTAATTTTTTCTAATGTATTAAATATTTTCTATTTTATACATGCATGTATTTTCAAACACTTCGTACCGTTAGTTGCAGGCACGAGATAGAATCTGCTTCTAAACACTTATTAAATCCACTATTCGCTGGGATGACATTATTATCCTTAATGGGGTCGGCAAATGCACTGGCAGACAGCAGCAGGATAAAAGTGGCGGTGAGATACAAATTCATGTTGTTATAGGTAGGTAGTTGTTGTTGGTTAATGTCGAACAGGACAGTAAAAATATTTACTGTACGTATGTATGTATTCTGTTTTACGAGTTTGGCTACACTACCGTTTACACTATGTGTTTATTCGAATGGAACAACTTNGGTTTTTTTCGAATTTGGCTACACTACCGTTTACACTATGTGTTTATTCGAATGGAACAACTTGCGGTTTGATAATTTTTCGTCGATGTCAGTCTGTTTTTAAACAGTTCCAAACAATCATCAAAAATCTTAAAATTATGCAAAACACAAATACGAATATGAAGCGGCAGCAACAGCGAATGCGGCCGCGACAGCAGCAAAATAAAAAAAGCGGCCAAGATGAGTAGAGTACCGTTTGCTGGATTTGAGCGACGTCAAAACGTTGCCACCGACCTGCCCCGCTTGAGGTTGTAACACACGAGGCAGACCAACAACAACGCCACTTGCAACACAAAGCCACTTTGACATGGTGAGCAAGGCGTCACCGTCACCAGCGTGAAAGCGAGCAAAGTAACTCGAGCGCACAGCTAAAACAAACAACAGTTGTGAGCAATTGTGCGCCGGTAAAAGCCCTNCCAACAAAAAAAAGCGGCCAAGATGAGTAGAGTACCGTTTGCTGGATTTGAGCGACGTCAAAACGTTGCCACCGACCTGCCCCGCTTGGTGTTGTAACACACGAGGCAGACCAACAACAACGCCACTTGCAACACAAAGCCACTTTGACATGGTGAGAAAGGCGTCACCGTCACCAGCGCGAAAGCGAGCAAAGTATCTCGAGCGCGCAGCTAAAACAAACAACAGTTGTGAGCAATTGTGCGCCGGTAAAAGCCCTCAACGCAGGCAGACGCTACTCTCCCATAGTGGTCATGAAGTCAACGATGGCAGCCAACGACAAAAGCCCTCAGTGCCTCCATGCATTCAGCTGGCGACAGTGACAGCGACAGCGACAAGGCAGTGGCGGGCGTGAGAGTGTGAGCAGCATTTAAGAATGATGGCGTCGAAGAAGCAGAGCAGTGCAAACCCACATACGACACTGCCCAATTGCTAAGCGTTAAGCGCTCAATGTTAATAGCTTCCGCATGCGTACGCTTGTATGTGCTATAAATATGTGCATACGTGTGTGTGCGCCTGCGCATGTGCTTGCGCAAAGCCAAGGTGAGAGCAGCGCCAGCCGCGCGCACTCCAACGTCAAGGTTACACAAGCTGGTCGCGTCATATTTTCTACCTGTAATGGCCAACTCTCCTACGCTCAGTGCTGCTCAATGTTCTCTCCCACTCCCATTTGACAGTCTCATATCTTCCGCATAACTTTATATGTGCATATACATATATGTATGTAGATACCAAATTGTATTCTCGCCGATTATAGCGCTCAGACATGCGCATGCGCAGCACAGCTTCCAATACCCCACCGGCCATCTGTTACCTGCTGGCGCTCAATATAATCGCGAGGGCTGATTTGCTTCTGCTCAGTGATATAGCTGCAAGTTTTTGGCATGGTGTCTTTTTTAACCACGACGACCAATACACTTACATGCCATCACAACCCTGCTGAAAAAAATTATCAATTGATAAAATATAACCCACTAGTAGTCAGGTTTATTGAGGGATTTCTATAAAATATATTACTTGTAGTTAACTAAGTTGAAAAGTGAAAAGTATTACAGGTGTCATACAGCCATAAACGGGAGTTTGCTTTCTTTAAACAAGTTTCTTTTTAAAAATCGGCATACAAATTTTACTTTGAATTTACTTTTATTCTGAACTTTACAAATACTTTTTCGAATTCAAGACAGATCAAATTAAGTCCAAACTTTATATGATCTTATATGAATTTATCTCTGACGGAATTCGAATATGGGACCACCTACAGCAGAAAATCTAAACAAAAACAATGTTAAATAAAGAAGAAAAAGAAAATAAATAAACAAGTGAAAATATTGAACAAAATATTGTTTTTCCGATTGACATTTTATGTTCAAAAGTAGATAGTTACAAGTAAGTTGACATCTAATGCAGAGGTAACCACCCTTTAATATAGTTAGCTTTCCTCAAAGAAAGTATACAGATAATAGTGACTTCTTTTTAGTGCCGTCCTAATTAGCTTCAAGTTAACTCATAGCAAGATACATTTCCAACAGGGAACCTCCACAGATGATGATGTGCATGATGGGCAGGTGTTGGTCGCTGCTCGGCTGCTGCTTTTTACGCTGCCGCCATTGCTCCTCTTTATTACCGCCGACACGATTATTATTGTAGTAAATACTTATTGTTATTGTTATTGTTGTTGGCACTTTCGATCTTCGATTTTATGGTAGTACATATGTATGTATGTATATATGTATTTGTATAGGTATTGAAATTTGCTCTTTCAAGAAAAGAAAGTTTTGTTACTTATAGTTTGCATAAATAGTGACTTCGGCTATCCCTCCGCAAACAACTCCTTGCCTTGCCCCAGGTTCCGGGTGATGTAAAAATAACAATACCTGGCCAGTTTTAATTTCTTGTTTTCACCTTCCGTTTTAGCTTCTTCTTGTTTGTATTGGGTCGGTCGTTTGGTTTATAGGCACTATAAACATTTTGGCGTCTCGTAGATTATATAATCAAAGACGGCGAAAGGAAGTTGTGTAATATTTGGTGTGTCGCCGCTGGGCATGGGCACAAATGCGTCAACAACAATAGCAATGCTTATTACAGTTTACAACTAAAAATTTGGAACTTGAAATATACATTACATATCCAGTATAGATATGTACGTACAAACATGTTAAACACATTATATTTTCTCTACTTACCATCATTGTGTCTTTAAGCTGTGTTTTTATTACAATTATGTACGTAAGTACATATCTACATATGTACACATATTTATATATATATTCGTATATATGCATAAAATGTCTGGTCTGGTCTGGTAATATGTCGTTTAATTGTTTTCCAGCATTAAGTAAACTAGTAAAACACATGGATAATAATGCCGCCTGCACGTGTCAAATGAAACCAGCTGCAAGAAAGCTAAATTTATCTAACTCAATTATGGCATTTATATAAATCTAATTTAAATGCTTATAATTTAAAAATATGTAATAATATTCATTATAGCGTTTATGAGGAGAGTTGTGGCCGAGTTTCTTCAACAACTCACGTCTATTGCCTGTGAAATGTAACTATTTTCCCCCTTCCAATAATTATATGATTTTTTTTTAAATAGGAAACGGTGCAACGGAAATGGTTGCGGCATAAACAAGTGCTGCATGCATATGGTATTAATTTAACAAAAATATGCTAACAAAAGGTCAAAGAATAACACTTAGAAAAAGGCCTATACAAGAATGAAAGTAAAGGTGACTACGTACATAGATAAAGAAAAGGATAAAGGCAGAGGTAAAAATAAAAAACAAAAACAAAGATGCGTAAAGATAAAGGCAAAAATTAAGACCAACATAAATTTAAACACTTTACTTATATACATATATGTATATAAGGCCAAAGGTGAAGGGCAATATGTAGATGAAGAAGATGATAAACATAAAAGTAAGGACAAAGAAGAGGATGAGGATACCGATAAAAGCAAAGATGAAGATAGGGGAAGAAAGATTAAAATAAAGGTAATTAAAGAAAAAACGACACAAAGACTCAATCTGAGAACTATTTTGGGACTTTAGAGATTTTCGGGATTCTCGGGACTTATCGATAACATAATCGATATTTTTATCGATTTTTTATCGACTTTTTTATCGAAATTTTTATCGATATTGTTATCAATTTTGCTATCGATATTTTCGTTACCTATCGATATAAAAGTCGATATATTTATCGATTTTTTTATCGATATTGTTATCGTTTTTGTTATCGATATTTTCATCGATTTGTTATCGATATTTTTAGCTAGCTTGTTGGCGATATTTTTTATCGATTTTGTTATCGATATTTATCGATATTGCTAGCAATATGTATCGATTTTGTTATCGATATTTATCGATTTGGTTAGTGATATTTATCGATTTTGTTATCGATATTTATCGATTTTGTTATCGATATTTATCGATTTTGTTATCGACATTTATAGATTTTGCTATGGATATTTTTATCGATTTTGTTATGGATATTTTATTGGATGTTACTATCGGTAGAGTATAAGGACAGAAATAACATAAATGTAATTATGTAATATCCGGAACCGCGTGCTTTTGTGTCTCCCTCACCCTTAAATTAATTTTATTAGTGTAATTTTACTTAAATATTTACTTTATTTTTTAAAACTTGGGCCTTTTTGATAACAAATGTGACGAGTTCTTGTAACTCATTTATTTATATTTTTAATTTTCGTAATTGCATCGGCATCATCGAAAGGGGATTCAAGTACAGCTTCTCCGATGGCTTGGAAAGTCATATCTTTGGAACCCTAAAAGTCTTCTGCCTTCCGATAGACCAAGTGAAGAAAAGTTAGGTTCCACTTAACATTTACCAGTAACGTAAATTGCCACACTTGGTGTGCTTTAGTGAGCTCGGTTAGTCGCTAAAGCGATGACAGCATTACAGTTTCCAGCTTATTGAGTTTAAATTAGCAGGAAAAACCCAAAACATATCTATAAACCTCATAAAATGATCATTTATTTATTTTCTTTTTATTAGCAAAAGATGCCAGTGCATTTAAGTTATTTAAATGGATAACCAAAAAAAAAAAAAAGATATTGATAATGCAATATACAGGGAAAGTAAAAGTGAAACGCATTGGATATTATAAGTAAAAAGTACAATGGGTAGTTTCTTGAGGAACTGAAATATGTGTATGCTTGAACGAATGCTCATAAAATACTATGCGCCATGATATTCACGTTTTCAATGTGCAATCAATTGATAATATCATTGTTGCCACTTTATTAACAAATAACTAAAGTCAAAGCAAAATATAATTACACTAATTGTTATAAAGCAAATACATACGAGTACTTGCCACAAATAGCATCCAGGTAGGTACAATAAAATTTGCTGGCACGTATGTACATATATCTACTTCTGTATATGTTCAAAATCTACAACCGTTCCCAGTTGGAAACTCTATGAGTCTATTTTAGATTGTTATTTCATTTCATTTTCATTTATCTATACAGTTAAC